TTTGTGTGTGTGTGGTACTATGGATTGAATCCAGGACTTTCTTACTGAGTTCCACATTCCCAGCCCTTTTCTAATTTTTAATTTTAAGAAAAGATCTCCCTAAATTGCTAAGTTGCCCAGGCTAGACTTGAAGTCGTGATCCTCCTACTTCATTCTGCCAGAACGCTCAGATTACAGGCATACACCACAATACTCAGTTGATTTTTTCACACTTTTAACTATAGCTATGAGAAATTAGCATAATCTCTAGTCTCCTAGCTTAATTTTTCTCCTAGAAGTATTTGATAATGTAATGCCTTTACACAGTTCTCTTGGTTTTCCTAGTCTTAACATAATTTCTCATTTATTATTTTTTAAAATGAAAATATACTTAAAGAAGTGTAAATTACATTTAGCATGAGATGCTTTTCAGAACTCACAAGATAGCTAGGATAATGAATATGTGAAGCTACTGAGGATTGTTTCATACTTTAAATAAAGAATATTCAATGTATCTACATTTAATTTTGTTTTTTTTTTGGTTTTTTCTCCGGTACCAGGAATCGAACTCACAACCTTGCACTTGCCAGGCAGGCGCTTTGCTGCTGAGCTAAATCCCCAGCCCCTCTACATTTAATTTTAAGAATTTACATTTATTTTTCTCAAAATTGTGGAAACATCTAGTTCTACGATCTATTTCTTAAATATAAAACATACGTGCAACACAAAATAAATCTTTTATACACATATAATGGCTCAAATTCAGGATTTTTGACTCAAATTGCACTGATTTTAAGGAATGATTACAGTACAGCATGGGAACAAATGTAATCAAATTGGCACCTGGCTACTGTGCTCTCAACAGGCATGCACTAAATATCTGCTGATTCGGCAAGAGCTTTAGTTCATGAGGTTCATGTCTTACTGCCCTAACCAGTTGAGACAGAATTAGCACTAGCTAAATCGTCTGTGTGCTGCCGAGAGGGGTTTGTTGAGGGTAAGAGTCTGAAGGAAGAGATTAAGGAGTCCTCATCCTCCTAATGTGCTGAGCATCCAGGATTAGAGCTCTGGGTCAGAGAAATCCACCTGAATGCAGACCTAAGCACCATTGTATTCCCCTACTTTAGGATTATGAGACACGCTCTGCCCTTAAAACTTCCATCCCACTCTGCCCTTTAGCTCAAGAGCATTTCATCTGCTATAGCAAAGTGACCTTACTCCATAGTTTGTCTGCACATATCTAAAATGGAAGATAATATCCTGAAAATGTAAAAGACAATGTTTAAAGACCCCTCTGCTTGATCATATAACTTCACACTCGCAAAATGATGGTTTGGGAGCAACATAGATTTGCAGCTTGAAGTATCTATCTAGTTTATAAGAGAAAAGAGCTGCTTGACCTCAGAAAATTTCCTTGAAAGTGTTCTGGCTGTACTTGTTTTAAAACACAATTTAGTTTGGGGTAGTAAAATTATTCTGTATGATATGATAATGGTGGATAATGTTATTCTATTTTGTCAAAACCTATATAATGTGTAGAAGAGTGAGCCCTAAGATAAACGAGTACTTTGAGTGATAAAGATATGACACTGTAGGTTCATGGATTGTAATGAGTATATGCTCTGGTTTAGGATATTGAGAGTGTAGGAGGAAGGCTTTGCATGTGTATGTAAGGAGAAAAATATATGAGAGCTTTGTATTCTCTGCTTAATTTTACTGTGAACCTAAAATTGCTCTAGAAGAAAAGTTTATATATATATATACACATATATATGCACACATAAAATTTGGTACAGACAAACAATAATAGAAATAACATTAAAGAAATCAATGCTTTTTTTTTAAAGAAGAATTGGGCACCAATAACTGTAATAATGATAAATAAACAAGTATTTGTTCACAAGATAAAAAGAACCTGGGGAAGCTGAGCAGAGCTCAGAACTGTAATGTGCAGGGATTGCAGGTACAGTGACTCACTGCCCTCCCCAGGGACTTCCATGATGTAGGAATATTTCCAAAGACATTGGGAATAGTTTGTTATTTAGGTAAAAATTTTGTGTATTGATTAAGAAACAATAAATTACCATGTTGGAAGGATAACAGAATTTCATAGGTTAAGTTCAACCCTTCTGGTATTACAAAAAGAAGGGAAGACAGAACTGTGAGGCATGAAGTCAAGAACAGATCTGGGGAGCTGGGCTGTTGTTCAGTGGTATAATATTTGCTGGATGTGCAAGAAGCCCTGGGTTTGATCACCAGCACCAAACCAAAACAACAACAAAGCCAGATGTGGTACTAGGGACTGTTTCAGTGGTATGGTAAAAAAGACTTGTCTCTGATGTTTCCTTTCCCATTGGCTTGAAAGTATTAAGGTCTTCATTTGCTTCACTGGACTTGTGATTAATAGTGACAAAAATGCAGCTGGAGCTGATAAACCTTACAGAGCTTTGCAGAAATGTGCCGGCCCCTGACAATCCTGGTACTTCAGAGGAAAGGTATTTGTGATTATCTAGTGAAAAAACATTAGAAGACCACGTTGCCGCAACAGCACATGACACTATTGCTGCTCTGCCATACATCTCCCTACCCCTCTTCTGAGTTCAAGGGCAAACACGGAGGTCATCTACTATCTCAGACCCTGCATCTCTCTGCAGCTCAGTTTGAAGATGTTTTTCCAAATCACGGGAGCTTGTTGGGTGAAGCTGAGGCATAACCCAGATATGATAGGCAATCATGCCGTCAACCAAGGCCATAAGAAATCAATGAATACATGGTCGTCTTTCCTTCTTATTTGAGATAATCCTGAGGTGTAAATCACAAAGTTTCTAAGAGGGTCCCCACAAGGGTGAACCTCACCACTTATTGGCCTTTTTTGCTTGGTCTTACTTCCATACTCATGTGGGCTTCCTCCCAAAGATACTACCTGCACTTAAGTCTTTGTCTCAAGGCCTGCTTTGGAGAGCCCAAAGTAAGACACCTTCCTCTGCTTTTGGTGACTCATCCCCATGGCATTTCCCAAGGGTGACAGGCTGAGGAAGACTGCCAGCCTCTAAGAAATTTTTGTTCCTCCTTCTTCCTTGTCTTCCTCCTTCCCTCTGATTTGTCTCAGATATCACAAGAAATGCAAAGTGGACATTATATTTTTAAATAACTTTATTAAGGAATACTTGATGCAAAAGAACTACATATATTTAATGTGTACAATATGATGAGTTTCAACATGAGTATACACTCATGAAACTATTGCCACTGTCAAGGTAATAGACATATCCAACACTTTCTGAAGTTTCCTTGTGCTCTTTTGCTTTTGGTTTTTATGGTGAGAGTACTTAACATGACATCTACCCTCTTAACAAATTTTGAAGTTCAGAATAGGTAAACTTTGAGGATATTTTGCTAAGTGAAATAAGTCACAACAACTACTTTATGATTACACTTCCAAGAAGGGTCTGAAGTAGTCACTCATAAAGCAAAGAAGATAATAGTGGTCAGTAGTGGGGAAAACAGAGTTGTTCAGATGCCTATAAAGTTTCAGTTAGGCTGGGTGAATAAATTCTAGATATCTGCTTTTCAACATTGTACCTATAGCACTGCATTTTATAATTTAAAAATTCTATCTCATGCATGGGTAGATTCAAACTTCTGCTAGAGACCATTGATTCATGTTGGAAAAAAATCAAAGATCAACATTTTTTCAAAATGAAATATTAAAAAGTGCTCCACATTCTCTTGTGCAATGGTCTAAGATGAAGAAGGTGACTGTGCAGGAATCTCTTCTGGGACACCTTTGACCCTGATCACAGACCACAAGGCAGTTCCTTGGCTAGAGGTGCATTCTTTTGGCCCCCACCATGGCCTGCAAGCAACAGACAGGTATTTTTGTTCTAACTCTAACTGTGCTGTGCCTAAACTTTCTGAGGCCCCTACTGGAGAGGAACTGACACTGATCTCATATAATGAAAATAAATAAACAAAAAAACTTTAAAAAAATAAATCAGTGGCCAAAACAAATGTTAGGTGGCCCATTGACTTGAATTTACAGTTTGATCATGAATAGTTCAAGTTTAGATGTGGGGAAAAAAAGCTACAGAAGGAATTACATATTTAAATATTATTATATTTTAATGAATTAAGTGTTTAAAAAATTGAATAGACACACAAAAAAGGAAAGAAGAAAAAGGGAAAGATCACTGTAATGAAAAGTAGGATATTTACTTCCTAATTTTCTTTTTTTTACAAAAGCTGTAGAAATCTCAGACTTTTTCCTCCAGTAACAATTGAAGATGCAAAGAAGCTAAAAAGACCTGTTTGACTAGTACTTTTGAATAATTAAAATTATTGATATTATCAAAAATATTAATAACTAACAAGAAAATTATGAGGCAAATATTATGCTCTTAAGCATAGTCATCTTTTCTGTTCTCTAGGTTCTGAAGATAAGTTACATAAACATGTGTTCTGTAAATTTGGATATAATTTGGTCATTTGTTCTAATTAAATAGTTTCACGCAGTCATTAACCACCCTAATTAGATATACTTCTAGCCATTAAGAAGATTCACTCTCCTTATTTTCTGTCTTAATCAAATCAACTCTATAGGAATATTTTTCCACAGACTGCATATATGGGAGAAGTTATGTATTTGCATCTCTGGGAACAGAAAAATCAAAATAAGGTGAAAGGAAAGAAATTGGCACTCCTGGAATCTTGCAAGCTTGGTTTCTTTTTACTATTGCATGTAGTGTGGAATGGTATGACCTGAAAACAACAACAAATTTGAAGGAAGCATTTATAAAATGCTGAGTTCTACAGCTGTATCTAAGTGCTTCCTATAGAAGGTTTTTGTATAATTCAAATCTTGGTGTAGCTAGTCTTCCCAAGTGTTGTCAAAATACAAAGGATCTTCACTGAGTTCAAGAAGAATTCAAATAGTTCACAAAAAGTCAGGTTCTGTGTCAGTGTACTATCTGGTTCTTTCAGAACTCCATCAGACACCAGGGACACCGACGACAAACTCAGTGATGGCTGTGAACACTTTACTGACAGCATCAGGGCAGCAAAGGATCCCACTGATTCCCTCACCATTTGGACCTCCAGTTGTGGACAGGTATTTCTCTTCCATGTAATAATCCAATCAGAGGAGGAAATGGATCATCATTTAACCCTAGTATCATTCTAATGTGATCTCAGTGAACCATGGTACAGTAATTCAAGTGAGGCCGCTCTGCCAGCCTTACCTTGGCCACTTCTGCCACCACCTCCTGCTTTCAGGCCTGCTTGACCTACACACTCAGCAAGTAACTAGCAGGTGCTCTACGATGTGAGAGACATTGTGCAGGTGCAAGCACGAGTATATTACTCTCCTAGGTTCACCACAATAAAATGCCACAGGCTAGAAGGCTTAAATAGCAGAAATGTATATCTCCCGTTTCAGAGGTTGGAGGTCCAACCTCATAGGAACACCTTGGTTTCTGCTGAGGCATTTCTTCCTGACTTGTACACAATATCTTCTCACTGTGTCCTCTACCTTCTTTCCTCTGGGTGCAAATGCAGAGGGCTCTTTGGAATCTCTTCTTAAGAGATATCAGTCCTACCAGATTGGGGCCTTATAAGACCTTATGATCTCGGGGCTGGGGATTTAGCTCAGCGGCAAAGCGCCTGCCTGGCAAGCACAAGGTCATGAGTTTGGTTCCCGGTACCGGAGAAAAACCAAAAAAAAAAAAAAAAAAAAAAAGACCTTATGATCTCATTTAACCTTAATGGCCTCCTTAAAAACTTTATCTCCAAATATGGTCACATTGGAGGTTAAGGTTTCACTGTATGAATTTAGGGAGAAACAATGAAGTCCATAAAAATTGGGTATCCGAGATTTCCTGTGACAGCATATATCTTTCTTTTTAATAAAAGCAAAATTAAAAGTGTTTTGGTTGTACACTTTGGCAATAGTCTCTCTTCCTTTTTTAGGAATATCTTTAACATTCTGAGAGAAAAATAGAACATATTATTTATTCTTGTTCATACAGTGTGAACAATAAATAAATTTGGACTTCTAAAGACACTGAAGTTTGGCAAAATGCATAAACTGTTCCCCCAGATAGTCAAGCATTTATCTCAAATTGCAAAGCCAACCTAAGTAAATCCATTAAATGAGAAAATTTGCACTCAGAACGGAATGCTGGCTGTGAAAAATCAGAGAGCAATATTGATTTGATTGGATCTTTTCCCCCAGACATCCCTAAAACTTTTCTTCCCTGTTTTCTCTGTTTGACTGTCAATTGGGTTGGTCTTCCTTTAGTAGAGTCCTTCCTCCTGATCTTTCTCACCATATTTCTACTTCATTCTAGAGACTGGTGGACTTTTATACTTCAGATTGGAAAGAGATGATAGAGGCAATTAAGTAAAACAAACACCTAACTACAAGCAATGGAAATTTTGTACAACTGTATTCTCATTTTACTTTTTTATAACTTTTTCCCTAGAGATGCTTTGCCTTCTGTTGTACCAACTGACCCAAGACAGTTTTGTGTTCCTTCCCAGTTTGGATCATCTATTCTACCAAATACAAACATGCCAAATATGCTGCCCAGTCATGGCTACTCAGGTATGAGTGACAGACATTTGACTCTTGTCTGCAGAGCCACACTGAAGAGGACAGCTGCATTAAATTGGCCATGCTTTTGCTGCAAAATTTTGGAGGCACAGCTGTGTGGTGATTATGCTTATAGTTTCTGTAGTTCCTACCTACATTCAAATTATGGTGCCACCTAACTCCTCTAAGCATCAATTTACTTATGAAAAAATAAAGAATTTACTGTCTTATCCTACACATGAAAAACAAGTGAGGTTATGAGGAAAGGAAATCTGAGAGTTAATGAGGCTTGGGGTGGTTAACATGGTCTGGGTTGGAAATGAGGCTAGGCAGTACAACACTCGCCTAGCATATGTGAGGCCATGGGTTTGATCCTCAACACCACAGAAAACAAAACAAAACAACAAAAGCATATGGTGTCAATGGGAACATGGCCCTTTTCCTGAGTGAAAGGGGAAGTTTTAAGGAGTTTGAGCAAAGGAATGACATGGTCTGACAAAATTTACCAGGATCACCCTGACTGCTGAGATGGGTGTAAATTACTACTACAACCTGATCAGTGATCGAGCTCAGAGCAATTCAGTAGTCTAGCATCAGTGAAAACATGACCAGTGAGGCTTAAGCGAGACTAGGCAGTAAGAATGTGCTCACAACACTGGAGATGAAATTGCTGAATCTGATCACCCTAAAAATATAATCTGAGCTTCTGTTTGTCTCTGTTCTGCAATTGCAACAACTTTTAGAGGATAGAACAACTATAAATGAAAATGCTGACACAAAAAGAAACGTGATTTGTGCCTAAGCCAGTGAAGAGACTGACCTGCCTGGATTTGAGTGTGTTCCCTTCAGTAGCATCTAATTCAACCACATTTAGAGAGGCAATCAAACCAGGGCCAGATCTGAAACTAGACCCATGTAATGGAGTAGGGAAAAGACTATAAGAAATAGTCCTGACAGCAGGTCCTGAGTGAAACTCCATCGGGTAGCAAGACCCCAATAATCTGTAGCCCATGGCGTCAGGCCACCATTCAGCAGACTACCAAAACAGTTGCATTACTGACCTAAAGAGTCACTCTCAGTGATACAGAAACCAGAAGTGGACAATATTTGGATATACCAGCAGACAAAATTGCCATCTGTCTGAGGGACATGTAGATAACTCTCCTACCTCAAGGGTGACATGTGAGAGCAGTAAAGACAAGATGAGGCCTCAGCCCTACAGAAACTGAGCTATAAGTTAGCAAAATGGAAACAAACACAAGAATCTACTTCAAAAACTGAGGTGTTAGGTAGGAAGTGGATTAATACATTTGAACTAGCATTAAAATTGATGCTACCTACTTGGGATAGAGAAAAGAATTGAAATAGAAAATTTGAAAGTGGACCCACTTTCTAGAGGGTCCTAAAACCTAGCCAACTGACATTGTGCCCCCAGCCTGGACTTCCCACATGGGCTTTTTCTGCAGTCATGGGCAGTATGCCATGGGATAGGAGTTTTATGTGTTCCAGCTCTCTAATAGGGAATATTGTGAAGCCAATGAACTATAAAAACCTAGAGTTAGGGTTAGAGGATTTCTAGAGGTCACCTCATTTTACAAATAACAGAGAACTTCACTTCTGAAAAGATCTCATATTCATTGCAAGATAGGTTATTGGCAGGAATTTAATGAACTCAACTATGTCAGCCTGAAGTGAGCATGAGAAACAAGTTTTCTCCTCATGATTTTACCCTCTTATGAGGAATAACAGATTTATACGTGTAAAACTGTCACTGAACAAAACAGATAGGTGTGTTTTGTGCATAAACCACTGTTATAATCTGTTATCCGTACTGGTTTATGAGGTGTGTGGACAAATGAGAGCATGGCTCAGAAAACTTCACAGCAATCTGACAGGGTAAATTTTAGATCTTCATCTAATAATTTTTAAATTGTTTGAGAGTTTTTTACATTTGTTCCTGTTTTTATGTTAATTTCCTGGAAATTAATTTTGTTGCATTTTTATAAAGTATAGGTTGGATATGTAAAAACAAAAAAAAATTTAAGCCAAATGCAGTGCTGTGTGCCTATAATCCCAGCACTCACGAAGTTGAGACAGGAGGATTGCCTTGAGTTCAAGGCCAGACTAGGCTACATAGTTAGTTCAAGGCCAGCATGGACTGTATTACAAGACTCTGTCTCAAAAAGAAAAGAATGAGTGAATTCAACACTGGTCGTTCACCTTAGAAAAACATTCACCATAGTGAAAGCACCAGGACAGACCTATGTATATTAGAGTCCAGGGAAAGGAGAAATCAGTATACTATAAAGTTACTGGGAAAAAGAGAGCTTTGAAATCTGTAACTCTGCAGTTATTTCAAAATATTTTGGAAGGCTGACATGAAAAATGGATGTAAGTGCTTCCCAACTCCATTGAAATCATTCTGGAAAATGTGTTTATTTTCAAATGCATCTTTTTAATTTGTTTGTGGGGTGGGATGGTGGCTTTCTATTTTAAGGTTGGGGCATTTTACCATCTGAATCCATAAAGGCAGTGACCAGAAGGAATGAAATGATTCAAAGGCACCATATTGCCAGGTAACAATGTTATTTTATTTACTTAACAATGTTATTTTATTTACTTTCTATTTATTCACAGAATAAATGTCCATGTGTAACAAGTAAATAAGGAATATGTACACATGGTCATACACAACGTGATTACTTACAGAAAACATTTCAGGCAGATACAAAAAGAAATACACAAACATCTACACAGGTTGGCTAATAATAAAGGCAAGATTAAAAATCACATAACAAAGCTAATGGTGGTATTAGTCTACAGACTGTAGTAGTTTGTCAGTGTTCCATAATTGAAATGTCCAGCTATGAGTTTCTGAAACTCATATTAGTATTTGTCTTAAATTTAAGATTTCATTTCTGCTTAAAGATAGGAGCCAAGTTTTCAAATTACATTGCCACAGCCCAAACAACCTAATATCAGTCCAAGAGTGGCCTTCAACTGTAGCAGTCAGAAGAAAGGCCCAGTAATAATGACTGGGCCCAGGGTGAGAGAAGGAATACAGTCCATTTTCTCATCACTGAAGCCTGAGGAATCTAGGGGATGACCATTACACAAAGTGAAGTAACAAAAACACAAGCAAGTCTTTCCTTTCCCCTCTCCCAGCCATTTACAATGACTTACAACCATTGAGACTTGCACTAATTGTCTCTTAAGTCCCACTAGCATTGTTTTTAAAGGTTTTTAAAACTCTTTAATTTCTTTGAAGATTAACCTCTACACTGCATTACCTACGTCTCTGCTAAACTTGTACCATATATTGATTGGAAGTAACTTTCTAAAGACTTGGATTCTCATTATGAGATCAGGCAAAACCTTCACCTTCAGATCTTCCTCCAAAGTCCCCTTCCTACTGGCTTTGTGGAGAATTTGTTTCCACCAAAAAAATTTTGGATAAATTGTGAGCACAGGGAAAGCAGAGATGCTATGTTAGGGAAGGCAATAATATGGTATTTCTAATGGCTTTCATATCTGTCTATCTGTCTGTCTGTCTGTCTCTCTCTTTCCCTCTTTCTTTCTTTCTTTCTTTTCTCTCTCTTTCTTTCTCTCATGCACATATTGTTTTATTTGTAGATCAGAACTGGAAATGTATGCGATTTACCAGCAAAGACGAATGGAAAAAGTGAATCCCAAGGGACTAGCTGGCCTAGGCATACCATTTCTCTATGGTTCCAGCATCCCAGCTGGCCCAGCCACTTATCAGAGCAGGAGCATACACCCTGCCAGCGACCTGCATTTTCACAGAAGCACTCTCAGGCATCTTCAGGAAAACCCCATTCTCATGGCAACCAGACCACATGTTATAGAAAGCTGGGGGCAGAAATATCGACCCAGGAGAGGCACAGGGAATCAGAAATCTCTAGAAAGTGATGCTGAGAGTTCCAAAAGTCAAGCAGAAGAAAAAGTCCTAGGCCAGATGCCTGCAGTTCCCTGTGAAGAGGAGGAATATGCAAAAGACCCAGAGATTGAGGTATGCCACAATCAGAAGTCAAGCGAAACCAGTGCAAAGCCAACAACACCTCTCACCAACCCCTGTGGAGCACTCCAGCCCACCCATAAAAAACCCTGGGGTGTTCACACCATACCCCTGGGAAAGGCTTGGGACTGTGGGAAGGAGGAGGCCGAAGAGCAGGTGTCTGAAGAGTGCGGCGAAAAGAGTGGGGTTTGCTCTTCAGTTCCTCCACCGTGTCTGCCAGGTGGGTGTCTGGGGCCAAGGGTAGATCCCCACTAACCACATCTTGGCCAGTCCTTGCCTTATTACATAGAAGGCTGTGAGTGTCAAGCCTTGCTTCATCCTTCTTTTTCTCAATCCTATCTAGAATGAATTCTTCTTGAAGTCACTTTATTACGTCAGTTCTAATGAGCTATGCTACTGACACTAGTCTCTGTATTTTTTCTAAACAGAGAAACTTTTGCAAAGGCTGAGAAGGTAAGTATGGGCCAGTATGAGAAAAATCTACCAAGATTTTAAATTCAATTCTTAATTTAATTTACTGTTAATTTTTCAACACAAAACAAAGGAGCTTTTGCTTAAAAGTATGAATTCTATCTTCCTGCATAGGTACAGGAAAAAAAAAAAAATAGCCAGTGAAACAGAGGCTTTACCTTTCAGTGTCTATTGCTATTGTGACTCTGTCTAATCTAAAAGAATCATCACACTATTGCCCAGCAACACACACTGAATACTCTCCTAGGACTTCTTGAAAAAAAGAAAAGTTAGAAGCTAGACATTGGGGTGTACAACTGTAACTCCAGCACTCGGGAGACTGAGACAGAAGGCTCACCTTGAGTTGAAGGCCAGCCTGGATACATGGTGGGTTCAAGATCAGCCTGAACTATATAGTGAGACCGTGTCTCAAAAAACCGAAAAAGATTTTAAAATGGGGGAGGGGTGCATTTCAATCTAGCCACTCTACCACCATACCGACTGCTTCCCTAGAAACTGTTAACTTGCCATTTTGATAAAGATGTAGCTAAATTCTTACCTCACCTAGAGGGCATCTTGGACATAGAATATCACAGAACATAATAGATGAAACCCGAGGGTCTGTCTCTTGAAATCTGGGAAAAGATGCAGCAAATCTGGAATTCTTTCTTTCTTACAATATTGCTGTCACTGAGGTTTCTTTCAGAGGAGGAAAATCAAAGCAGCAGCTAAACTTTTTCTTTTTTTTTTTTTAATCTTTTCTGAGACAAAAATCTTGCTATGTAGCTTCAGCCTGGCCTTGAACTCACTATGTAGCCCAGGTTGGCCTCGAACTGATAGTGATCCTCCTACCTCAGCCTCCTGGATGGTTGGATTATAGACATTCGATATCACATCCAGCTAAACTTTTAGAAAAAAAAATCTCCCAATGACTAAGTATCTTCCAGGAAGATTATAAATTCTCATGCATGAAAGGACGCTCTGTGATGGCAGAACTTGAGGAATTTTATATAACCATATGTAAACCTGCTCTAAGTACTTCCTTTTTCTGGAAATTTTATATCACAGAATAATTGCCTTTTTGTTTTAAAGTAACACATGCCTTGGTTCCACCTGGGGAAAATCTTCCTCTGGATGAAGATCTTCAAAAATGGACTGTGGATGACGTGCACGACTTCATTAGAAGCCTTCCAGGCTGTTCAGACTATGCCCAGGTGAGTTCATACTTAAATATTTTCATAGAATTAAAAAAGTTTAAAATATATTTCCTGCATAATGAGTTTTCTCAGACTTGTAATTTATCCCAGAGAGGATTCCTACTAATCTCCCCTTTTCACAACATTATCTCTCTTGGGACAGGAGCCTCTGCTTGGTGGACAGGGGCCAAATACCTGACATCAAGGGATCTAGGGAAAGTCACTGTCAAGACTCCTGAAAAATGGGAATTTCCCCAAAATTAGAAGGTTTAGAGGTCAAAAAGCTAAATGAATAAGAAATGCTTGCTGCATTCCCTAATCATACACGTAACAAACATATTCAGAGCACATACTTCAGTAACAAAAGTTTTAAGGTATTCACCCTAAATAACAGAAATATTATACTTCCTTCTAAAGAAGCCAAGGAGAGAAAAGAACTGAAAAGTAAGAAGTTATTTATTATTGCTTTATTTCATGTTATTTTACTTTATTTATGTTTTGCTACACTGGGGATTGAACCTAGGTCTTCTGCATGCTAGGCAAGTGCTCTATCACTGAGTGATAACCCTAGCTCCTTAACTATTTTTAAATTCAATATTTGTGGTGGAATAATATGTAAAAATGCACATACACATCATTCAGTCTGGTATATAAATATATCTGAAAATTATAAAAAAAAAACTATCATGACAGGTGGAAAGGAAATCAGCCTCAATTGTATGGAAAAGTTAGTGAAAAAACCATAGATTGTAGTTTTTGAAGTTTATATCACTGCTACATTTTTACATAGGTTATTTTATGAGTGATTTAATAATAATTTTAAGCAACAAAGCGCCTACTAAATCTGGCATCAATATCTTTGATTTACATATTAAAGGAAAAGAAAGCAAGAAAAGGACCTTATTGTTTAATTTTTTTGTTTTTGTTTTTGAGGCAGGGTCTGTATTCCAGGCTGTCCTTGGACTCACAGTGATCCTCCTGCTCATCCTCCCAAATGCTACAATTCAGTCATGCACCATCATGATGAGTTTAATTGTATTATTATGAAAGTACTAGAGTTCATATTTTTCAGATCTCAGTTTTGTGAAATATTTCCCTACAAGGTAGTACAGCACTATCATTTTTTTCTTTTTGTTTACTGTCCCCTCTTTTTAAAAATTTTGTTTATGGGGCATGCAAAAAAAGTCATATGAAGTGTTAAATAAAAGTATGGCTTCTAAAGCCAGAAAATACAAATTCAAATCATGGCTTTTTCATTTTCAAGATATGTGACCTAAAACAAGTTACTTCTCTGTGCTGTGCCTCTTTATCATCACCTGCAAAGTGAGGATAATAGCAATAACACATTTTTAAAGGGTTATTAGCATTAAAGAGAGCTTGTTTTCTGGATGTGGTGATGCACACCTGTAATCTCAGCACTCAGGAGGCTGAGGCAGGAGAATCACCATAAGTTCAAGACCAGCCTTCACTATATGTTCAAGGCTAGCCTGAACTGCATAGTGAGATCCTGTCTCAAAACAACTGAGAAAGAAAGAAAGAGAGAAAGAGAACCTTGTACCTTCTAAGTACTCAATAAATGTTGATCTCATTTGCATAACCTGATAAAAATTTTGCTTATACTCTCCTGCTCAGTGGGTGTAGCCTTATTGTTTTACTATTGATTTAGTCATGCACAGGTCCCCTTTAAATGCATCTATACCACTTACCAAGTGTCACATCAACCACAGGTAAAATAAAGTTATTAAATTCTGATCACAGAGACAAGCAACCCTTTGTCATAAGCACATGACTTCTGACTTTGGTGAACTAAATTTATTGGAACACTGATTATTATTAATCAGTGATCCATAGTTATGAAAGTAGAGTGTATAATAACAACTCTTGCAATCATGTTTGGTCTATTTTATATTTTAGAATCTTTATTAAACAGCTTTCCCATTGCTGGGACAAAATACTTGACACAGCAGCTTAAAGGAGGAGCGGTTTGACTTGGCTCATAGTTCCAGATGAGTCACTTGACTGGTGGCTCTGCTGCAAAGGCATCATGGCAGAGGGGCATGGCGGAGGACAGCTGCTCAGTTCTTGGTGGCTGAGAAGCAGAGTGAGTTGGAAAGAGCCAGAGAAAGGGGCCAGGGACCAGGACAGTCCCCAAAGTCACACCCTGATGACCCATTTCCTCTATCAGGCCCCACCTACTAATAGCCCATTCAAATGTGATGGGATCTGAGCCCTCAGAATCAATCACCCCTCCACGAGTTTCTCAATCCAGTCAACTTGATGATGAAGATTAATAGCACAGGATCCCAAGCGACCCTTTGTAAGTGCTGCAAAGAAGTCTCATAAATAGGCAGCCCCTGAACTTTGCTGACTTGCTATCTCTCACCATCAGGAAGTCAGTGCCCTGTAGAAATGACAACAGTTGTTACTTCTATATGTTTCTCGAATGTGTTTAGGAGGAACACATTTTTTTTTTTTTTTTGGTTTTTCTCCGGTACTGGGAACCGAACTCACGACCTTGCACTTGCCAGGCAGGTGCTTTGCCGCTGAGCTAAATCCCCAGCCCCAGGAGGAACACATTTTAAAGTCTTCTTCCTCCAAGCTGCTGCAGGTGACAGCACCTGAGAGGCATGGGTGCTTTGCTGTGTGCTTCCCAGGGCTAGCCCCATCTGGCTGCAATAGCCCTGAAGCACTGCTGTCTGCACACAACTCTCATGAGAACCCTGGTCAAAAACATCCCGTCAGCTCACACGCACAGCCACGCTCTTCACAAAGTTGGGCCGCGTCCCTGGGACTCATGGGAATGACACCCACTGCCCTCCCTTCTGTCCTCTTCTTCCCTGCCACTGCCTGGGGTGCTGCTCAGCAAGGTTCAAGCACCAGCCTCCTGCAAGTAAAACAAGAAATTCAAAGAAAAAAATTCAAAAAAGAACTAAAACCCCCAACTCCCACACCATGAGTGAACTCTTTTAAAGAGACATCGTGGGAAGGCTGGTAGCTCAGCTATTTGGGGACATACAGGAAGCACTGAAATGTCTTTGTTTACTCCAATGACTGTCTGGTTCAGAGAATTTAGCATATAGAATGTTCTATCTCTAAAACTAACTGAACTTACTAAAATATGTGCACATTTATATCATGTGTGTGTCCCAAAGTGACCTGATGAAATGATGCTGGCACATCTCAGAGACAAAAACGTGTTCTGTGTTCTTGTCCCAGTCCTCCTGTCCCCTCACCATGGCTGGGATTCAGGCTGCACACCATTTGGTCCAAGCTGCCAACCTCCTGGAAATTTACCCGCAGGTTTCTCCTTCTCTGGATGCTTACACACGTCCCTTCATTGCTCACTGGAACCTCTGCAAGGGAAAGATAAATGAGCTGAGATTTCCATCACCAATACAATTTGCCACTTTCACCAGCACTTCTTTTTTTGCATAGTAATTGGATATAGCAGGAAACATACTGGATCAGAATCATGAAGAATAGCTTATTTTACAAGTTGTCTTACTGTGTGTCTTGGGTAACTCAGCAGTTTCTGTATTGGCTCTCACGTATAAAAACTAATAAGAATAATACCTACTCTTCATGGAGCATGGACTATGTGACAGGCACTGAAAGTATGGTTAAAAAAATGGTGAATGTTTACTTTTTAAAAAAAAAAAGTATTACAAGGGGCTGGGGATTTAGCTCAGCGGCAAAGCGCCTGCCTGGAAAGCGCAAGGTCGTGAGTTCGGTTCCCGGTACCGGAGAAAAACCAAAAACAAAACAAAACAAAAAAAAAGTATTACAGTAAAAGCCACATTATCATTAAGCCCCCTCCAACTACTCCCCCTCACTCTGAACACACTTACCCCATCATTCTTGCCACTTCCTGAAGAAATAGCTCTGGAAGTCCTCTTTCATGAGTGTCTTGAATCACACTGTTATAGCTCCTCAGTGTCCTCAGTTGGCTCAAGATGTTTACCTTGCATGACCATTTTGATTTTGATGAAGAGCCAGAAGCTGCATGGTGCCAGATCTGATGAACAAGGTGAATGAGGACATGCTGTACTGTTTGTATGAGCTCCCTTTCCTTTGGATGGTGTTCTGCAGCAGCATTCAGCCTATTTTTGACCACACCTTGTAAAGACATGAAAGAGGACTTGCAGAACGGCTTCAGAAAGTGATAAGAATGATGAGATAAATGTGTTCAAAGTGAGAAAAAAAAAAAACAGTAGCAAACTACTCACATCACAGACAAAAACAAAACAAAGCAAACACATAAAAATGATACAGGGTTTCAAAACAAAATGATAGGAATTAACAGTGGTTGTTATATTACATATTGCTATCTTCAATGAAGTTGCTCAGATTACCAGATGTAAGAATGCAAGATTGATCAAACTATTAAAGAGAATAAAAAATAATTTAAAAAATTAGAGATGATACAGAGTTTCTCTAGACAAGGTGGTAGGAATTCACCAATGGTTGTTATATTGCATATTGTTGTCTTCAAATCAGTTGCTCAGATTACCAGACACATGCATGCAATATCGATCAAAATTTTTAAAATTTAAGCATTAACTGTTCCTTTCAATAAACCACCAGACATCAGCAGTACAGTTATCTGAGATATATGTGTGTGTGTGTGTGTGTGTGTGTGTGTATCCTTCCTTCTGTCTTTCTTTTTCTTCTTTCCCTCATCCCAGTTGTTCCTTCCTTTGAGCAATTTCTTTCCCTTTGATATTATCTATTATACATTTTGGGTTTTATTTACTCTTTCAGGTTCCTACACTAGGGAGACAATATAATGTTTACATACATGGGTCCAATTTATTTCACTTATGAGTATGGTCTCTAGTGGCATCCATTTATCTATAAAAGCCTCAAGTTTATCTTTCTTTATAGCTAAGTAATACTCCATTGTATAAAAATACCACATCTTTTTTATACATTCCTCAGTTGATGGGAATTTGGGTTATTTCCAAGATTTAACTATGACAAATTGTGCTGCTATAAACATGGGTGCACATATATCACTGTGGTATGATGTTTTTAATTCTTCTGGGAAAATACCCAGAAGGGGAAAAGCTGGGTTAAGTGGGACCTTTAATCCTAGTTTTGTGAGGAATCTCCACACTGATTTCCTCAGTGGTTTCATCTATCTACACTCCTACTAGCGGTGGAGAAAGTTTCCTTTTTCCCCACAGCCTCTCCAGCATTTGTTATTGGTTGATTTCTTAATGATAGCCATTCTTTCTGGGATGAGATGGAATCTCAGGAACACAGCAATTCTTTTAAAGTTTTATTACTTCTTCTTTTTTTTTTTTTTGGTACCAGGAATCAAACTCAGGACCTTGCACTTGCCGGGCAGGTGCTGTGCCACTGAGCTATATCTCCAGTCCTCACTTGGCTTTTTCTTGGTAGTCTTTTCAACTGCCAGTTTTTCTTTTGTTCCATCTTTGCAGGCCATAACTTTACTGGAGCTCCTATCTGGCCAAACTCAAAAGGTTTTAAATCATTCTGCTGGGCTCTTCGTTCTTAATTGTCAAAATAGATCTGGCTCAAAAAAAAAAAAAAAACAGTAGCCTCAACATTACACTGTTTTAAAATTTCTTCTGCAAGATTAATTGGTCTGCTGCTTTTAATCTCAGTCTCAGCCAAAATCTCTGGACGTGAGCAAAACGCAGACAAACTTTCCGCCAAGGTATAACACACACTGTCTGGAGTCCAACAGCCAGTGCAGTCCTTCTTCCTAGTAAAAGCCTCCTGAGCCTGGACTTTACCAACAGCATTTCTTTTTTTTTTTTTTTTTTTGGTTTTTCCCCGGTACCGGGAACCAAACTCACGACCTTGCGCTTGCCAGGAGGCGCTTTTGCCGCTGAGCTAAATCCCCAGCCCCTACCAACAGCATTTCTATCAGGCTTCTGGCCTTCTGAGCTCTGACCAGAATCTCCCATCACATACAGCATAAAGCTTTTACTTACATTCATTTACTCAGAGTATTCTCCCATTGACAAATCAATCCAGGATTGTTTATTGCACCTCTTCTTACTGTACATATATGACACTGCATAAGGATATATCAGGAATTACAGCATGTACTCTGTCCTCAACTAACAACTATTCCAGGTTGGAGCTGAGTTATATAAGCAGAGAACAGTCCACTCTAAGTGTTATTAAACAGCACAAACAATATGCCATTGGAGCCCAGAAAGGAGTGTAACTAAAAATAAGTTTGGAGCTGAGGGTTGAGCTCAGTGGTAGAGAATTTACCTAGTATTCATGAAACTCCATGTTCATTTCCTATCACCACAAAAAAATAAATAAATAAATAAAAATAAGAAGTCTTTTGAGCTGGGGAGATATCTCAGTGGTGTAAGTGCCTGCCTGGCAAGCACAAGGTCCTGAGTTGGACTCCCCAGTACAAAAAACAAAAGTTTTTTAGTGCCATCCTTAATGTCTGAACATTTCTATATAAATTAAAATATCTGTAAATAAAATAATAATTTTTTTTAAAGAGACATTTGGGCAAAGCCAACATCTTTTGTTTTTTATAAGGTATTTAAAGATCATGCAATTGATGGAGAAACTTTGCCATTACTCACAGAGGAGCACCTTCGTGGCACCATGGGATTGAAACTGGGGCCAGCACTAAAAATTCAGTCACAGGTATGGTGATTTCACATAATTATGCCTGGGGCCGGGTGTGGTGGCGCACGCCTGTAATCCCAACACTCAAGAGGCTGAGGCAGGAGGATCAATGTGAGTTCAAGGCCAGCCTGAAGTGCATAGCAAAACCCTGTCTCAAAAAGAAAAAAAAAAAAAAAAAAAAAAAAAAGTAGAAGCCTGGGCAAATATGTCTATTTACAAGAGTAAATAGTGGTCTTTTTAATACCCAAGATGAACTGTGTCACTCTTCTACTCAAAACCCTGCATAGTTGCCCATTTCTTCCAGAGTCAAAGCCAAAGTCTTCTTCCATCTGCTCTCCTCTCCATGCACTACCACCCTCACACACCTGGCCTCACCTTCCACTTCCTTTCCTTCAAACCTCTGCTCTTGCTCACTTGCCCTGGTTGCTCCTTGAGTGCTGGAGGCATGCTCCATGTGAAGCACTGCCCACGGCTATTTCCTTTCCCAGGACACTCTTCCCCTATAGCCTCATGCTTTGCCCCTCATCTTCATCTTTGCTCTTGTGTGCTTTCTCACTGAGGCTTACTCTGGTCGGTCTACTTAAAACAGTACACTGCCCAGCCCCCAACACACTCCTGACAGCTCTCTTCCTGCTCCCTTCCCCCCTCATGCCACCCATCTCTTCCACCATAAATGTAATCTACTTATTTGTTATGTTCATTGTTTATTGTTGATTTCTTTTTATCCCATTAGAATTTACACTCTTTGCTTTTGTTTTTGGTACTGAGGAACAAACTCAGGACTTTGCGCTTAGCAGGCAGGCACTGCTGCTGCTGAGCTATATCCCCAGCCATGTGTTCTTTGAGAGAAGGGATTTTCATCTGGTTTTTTTTTTTTTTTTTTTTTTTTTTTTATTTTAAGGATAAAAGGAGGGAAACATTAACAGACATACAACATTTTACAACATATCACAAGCACAATACAGACAATACAGAGTTACAAACAAAGTGGTAGGGAATTAACAATGGTGGTTGTATTACATATTGATATCTTCAAAGTGGCTTCTCATGAAAACAGATATAGATATGCAATACTGTTTTGTAGACTGATGGATCTTTCGAACATGCAAGACCCATAACCAGTCAATAATTATTTTGGGGAAAAATGATCTTCTTAAAAATGAAATCAAAAACAGAACTTAATTTGTCCCAGAATTTATACAGAACTAAATGCAGTCCTGCTTCCTATTTATAATAAATGTTTAAGCCAGGAGTTGATAATTCAGATTTTACTTCAAAAACCACTTTTTATTTGTCTAATAATTTTTAGGTAGAGAAATTCCTTTTTTCTAGTGTAAATGCTTTAAGATTTCCTTTTTTTACTTTTTATTTTGGAATAATTTTACAGGAAGTGAAGTTTCAAAGATAATCCAGAGAGTTCATCCAACTTGCCTCAAAGTTAATATGTCACATAACATGGCACATTGCTCAAAATTAAGAAATTAACATTGGTAAAATGTTTTTTAAGTTATTCATTTTTCTTTAGTAAGGTACTATATATCTTGGCATACTTATAATGATACTTCATGGGATTTCTTCTCAAATGGAATTTTCTTTGGCTTTGATTTATCTCTCATTTTTGGACTATCATCTGACAGCACACACACTTCCTCAAAGCCCTGCTGAGCTACTGTATCCCAGGCACCATCTCCCCGCATGACAGGACAAGCCTCCCACAGAAGCTGGGAGAAAGGTCCAATTAAAACCAGACATCAATCAAAGAGGATAGTCATGGGGTCCTTGAGATTGGGAACTGAAGCAGCAGAATTGGAAGCCTTTGAGTAGCATTGGAATTCTAGAAGCTGAACAGGCAAGAGTTTATTGCTGGATAAGATGACAATGGCTCAGTCCCCAAAATGGTGATTGAGGGGAAATCTCCATGGTACCAAGAACTGCCAAAAAGAAAGCCCACCCCTAGAACAGAAACTCAGAAGGTAGATCAGAACAGTGCATACAAGAAAATGGATGGGAAAAGGAAAAAAATTACTGAGATCTGGGAACTCAGATATATTATCAGAATGGAAGTAACCTGCAATTAGAACTGGGACAATGAGGCCTGGGTTCCACCCAGGGTCAGCTTGTAGCAGAGACAACCAAAGCCCTGTATAGGATCCCAAAGCAGTCTGGTTTATGCCTCCCTGGTGACCTGCTGGGTGCAGAAGAATTCTGGTTTCAGTCAGGGGAAGCACTTGTTGGCTGCTGGTGGAGGTGTGATGGGATGTCTGTGGGATCTCTTGTGGGACCACAGAAGAAAGGCCACATGGAATGAAATCACATAATCACATAGAGACCAGGAAGGGGAATTAGAAGTCAGAGCCATCGTGATACCCAGTTTTAAAGCTGTAAACACCATCTGATTCTGAAAGAAAAGCCCAACACATACTAGCATTGTGACCACTACAGCCCTATGCTCCAGGCTGGCAATTACCTCAGCCTTCCTATCAACTGTGGCTAAACTGGGTTATTGAAAGACTTCACAGACTTAATTACCATACTTATTTTATCTTCATAGGTATCTCATCATGTGGGAAGTATCTTCTACAAGAAAACTCTTTCACTTCCTACCCATACAAGACAAGCACTGGATCAACCAGCAGATATATCCCCTCTTTTGGATTTTAATTCCTGGAGTGATACATTGAGCCTTCCTTGTTCCCAGGATTAATAATTCCTAAAAGAATTGAGCCAGATTTATGAGAAACCGAAGACCTTCAAGAACCAAGAACAGTCTTCACCAGTTCTCGAAAAACTCTAAGAATACTAGCAAGGACATATGAGAGTACAGAATGGAGAGATGGAGAGACAGAGAGAGAGAGATAGAGATAGAGAGATAGAGAGAGAGAGAGAGAGAGAGAGAGAGAGAGAGAGAGAGAGAGAGAGAGAGAAGGAGGGAGAGAAAGCCAGCCCTCTTAGGGCTATTGTTGGAAGAGGTTTACTCAGCTTCCTGCCAGGGCTGCAGTGATCCTAGCACCAAGAGGCTAGCTAGAGCATTACCCTTGGAAGAAAATATTAATGAGAATTTTCAAACATCAAGAAAACTGCAGTTGGATGTTTTTGTGAGGAAGTCTCTGAAGAAGCCAAAAGAGCTAAAAGTGGGGAAGAAAGCTTTTTATTTCCCTTGTTTCCCATCCCCCAACTCTGAGAGAGACAAAGACTGGGGTCTGAAGGAAGAACAGAAGTCAGAAAAGGACACAAGAGAATGGAAAAACTGATCCTATGCGTCCACTGTTTCTCCTCCAAGAAGCATTCCTCTTAAAGCTGGCCCAGCTAGGAAATAGGGAAAGCCTTAACCTTAAAGTTTCTAGCTTGGATGGTAATAAAAACAGCATGTTACTGGCAAAAAAACAGACCCGAGGAGCAATAAAATGATTAGAAGATGCATAAACAACTCTAGACATACTTAGCCACCTTATCTTTGAGAAAGGTGCCAACCACCTTCACTGGAAAAAGGATAGCCTCTTTAATAAATGGTGCTGGAAAAACTGGCTTTCCACATGCTGAAGATTAAAACCAGTAGACCCATATCTTTCACCAGCACTAAAGTAAAATTGAAATGGATCCAAGATCTAAATATTAAGACAGAAACACTAAACCTTCTGGAGGATAGAATAGGTAGAACTTTTGAAGACTTCGGTATAAGCAAGGACTGTATGAACAAAATCCCAATCACACAAGATCTACCACAAAGAATCAACAGCTGGAATCTTACCTTATTAAAAAGCTTTTTTGCAAAGCAAGATAAACTACTAACAGAGTGAAGAGACAACCCGCAGTGTGGGAAAAAATTTTGCCAACTGTTCCTCAAACAAAGGACTACTATCAAGAATATATAAAAAACTCAAAAAAATTAGACTCCCCAAATTTAAAGATCCAATCCAAAAATAGGCATCTGAAATTATTGTGGTATAGGGTTTTTTGTAAGGGAGAACAATATAATACATGACACATATTTTATAAAATTATTTATACCACTTACCCAAAAAATCACATACAAGAGAATGCAGGAAATCTGTCCACATACTATAGACCAAGAATCCAGCTGAGGGCCTGAATCCCACTATGATGTCCGGGTGAGTCCAGCTGAAGACCTAGAGCTCATAACAATGCCTCCCATGCATCCAACTGGTGGCCCAGAGCCCATGACAATGTCTCATGCAGGCCTGTTCATGGACCTGCACTGGGAAGGCCCAAAATTCAGTGGTGGAATCTGAAAGTCTGTGCCACCAGGATGAAGGATCTGTGCTAGCAGGCTGAGAGACCTATACTGGAGCCAGGAAGCAAAGTAAGAACTAGAACTCCCCTGAAAGATGCCACAGCCATCCTTGGCAACAGTGAGGTCCCAAGCTCTTCCAACGATCAGGACAGCTGAGTTCTCATCAAGAAAGCCAACGTGACAAGGATCTCAAGGAGACTGAGCAGTGCACCACCTTCCTCTCCAGAGTCAGAAAGCAATGCTCAGAGTGAGGACCAGAGTTCCCCCAAAATGAATCAAAGCTATTCTCAGGGCCAACAAGGACCTGAGCTCCTTGGACAATGGGAACAGCTGAGTTCATCAGGAAAGCCAGCATGAGAAGCCCCTCCAAGAAAACCAACACCTCCCTACAGCTTCTACCAGCTCCCAACAGCCTTCTCAGCTCCCAACAGCCTAACTTCTTCTCCAGTTCTGCCTCTTACACTGATGGCAACAATTCTCAGGTGGGCCTCCCACACCCAGCACCACACTTATTCAGTTCAGCTGACTGTTATTAGATGACCACCAGTTGTCAATCCACCACAGAAATGAGTAGGCCTTCTCAGATAAATATATGAAAACATGTTCAACATCATTGTTCATTCAAGAATGCAAATTAAAACAACACTGAGATTCCATCCCACCCCAGAAAGAATGGCTGCTATCAAGAAATCACCTAATAACAAATGCTGGTAGGGCTGTGGGGGAAAGGAACACTTCTCCACTCTTGGTGGGTGCGTAGACTGGTGCAACTACTGAGGAAATCAGTGCAGCAATTCCTCAAAAAACTAGGACTAGAGGTTCCATTCAACCCAGCTCCTCCTTTTCTTGGTATCTTCCCAAAAGAATTAAAAGTGTCATACCACAGTGATACATGTTTATTAGCAGCATGATTATAATAGCTAAATCTGGGAAACAGCCCAAATGCCCATCAACTGATAAGTGGCCACAGAAGATATGAGGTTTTTCTACAATGGGGTACTACTCTGCCATGAAGAAGGATACGTTTGAGACATTTCTTGCTAAATAGATACACCTTGAGGACATACTCTTAAATGAAATAAATCAGACACACATATTTAAATACTGCATTGTTTTTCTGGTGTGAGAAACCAAAAATATCAATAAGGACCAAGGTGTATAATAGATATTGTGAAATAGGAAGAAAATGATCAAGTGGGAAGGAGAACTAAGGATGGGGGAAGGGGGAAGGAAGGAAGGAAGGAAAAAGAAAAAATGATGAGAAAAGAAATAAAAATGGAAACAAAGCTTTTGAAAAAAGGAGGGGAAGCAGTGTTGAAGAGAGGGTAGGGAAGTGGGAAAACATAATCAAATTCTATCATGTACAGGTACCAATTCCCTATGATGAATGTGATCATTATGTATACCTAAATTGTACCAATAAACATAATTGTTAAAATAAATAAAATTGACCTCTCCCAGTGCCTGTGTGCCCTGCACTGAGTGAGCTAGTGATCCGGGAGCTGCTGGTCCTGTGGTTCAAGTCCGTGCCTTGCTCACACCACCACAATTCCCAGCTGAAACTCGCAGAGAGAGCCATGTATTTCCCATCTACTTCCTGAGGGTAGAGCAGGCGACCCACGACCCCACCGCCATTGCAGACTGAGTCTCTCCCCTCCCTGCACCTGCACCAGAGAGGAGGTCCTTACTCAGAAGCCCCAGGGACTTCTCTGGCTGGCGACGGGGTGTGTAGCCTCTCCCAGCACCCTCATGCCCTGCGCCCAGTGAGTGAGTGCTCCGGGAGCTGCTGGTCCCGTGGTTCGAGTCCGTGTTTACTTTCACCTGGAACTCCTACCAGGTTGAAGGAATGGGCAGTCTGTGAGTGCTACCCATCTGGCCTGCATCTGGTTCCTGTATGTGTCCTGAACTGACTGGAGGCACAGAATTAGGTTGTTGACAAACTGTCAGCCTTGCAGTTTGTGTCTGGATTTGGCCTGTACCCTAAACTGCCCAGGGACATAGGTCCACTGGACTGGGATTGTCACACCAATGCAACCTGAGTCAGGTGGTGCACATGCCCTGAACTGCAAGGGGATGCTGGATCAGATGGTTGGCCATCAACTGACACAAGTGCCCATGTCTGAGAATGGGAATAAATAGATACAAATCAAAAACTGCCAGAAAACCCGAGACTAAGTAGTGCTTCTCAGAGGTCACTCAGGGGCAAATCTGACCAACAGCAAAACTAGGGACACTAGTGGCCTTTGCTGTGCAGCTACTGAAGAGGGAAACTGAGCTTTCTGCATCCGGTAGCAAACATGACAAAATGAAAGACTCAAACACAATCCCAGAACTCCACCCCAATCAGAACAAGTCCAGAGACATCAACATAGGAGAATTGGCAAACACATGCCTGAAATAGCTGAAATGATTGCAATGCAAGTAAAGAAACAACTCCATAAGGCCATAGAAGAGATGAGATCAGAAATAATCTCTCAGGCAAAAAGTGAAATGACAACAATAATGAAGGAACTGCTCAAAAAATCTGAAAAAGAAACATATAAGAAAATAGAAGAACAAAGGCAAGGGACAGAAACGTTCAATGAAAAACATAGAAAGGATTTAGATCGCATGAACCAGATTCAAAGAG